TTATTTATATAATTATATTAAAATATTGGGTCAAATAGTAATTATCTTAAATATTTATTTAGAATAAGATTGAATCTATATATATTAATGGCAAATCTGGAGAGAGACGCGTGGCAGGCCGCGGCTTGGTGCCCACGGCTGCCCTGTATATAAGGGGCGAAGTGCCCAGAAAGAAAAGGAAAAGAAAGAAGAAATAGAGAAGGAAAGGAGAGAAAGGAAAGGAAAGAATACTGGATGGTGAAAGGGTATTTGATGATAGAAAAAAATAGTAAGGTATTAAAGTTAAGGTGAGTTATATTATACTTTGAGTCTTCAAAATGTATTTTATATATGTTTTGACTTATCAAAATTTATTTTATAAAAGTTATATTTTATTAGTATATTAATAAAAGTTATGTTTTATAAAGGTTTCAGTTACGTGGTTTTATTTCTGAACCCTATTTGCTTAAAAGGAATCCCATGGATGTGTTTGTTTATATCTTAAAAAATATTTGGCTATGACCTTATATGAAAATATGTTTTGTAAGTACCACCACGGGAGTCCCATGCCTTGGGGGACTTAAATAACCATTGGCTTAGTGAGTCCCATGCCTTGGGGGACTTAAATAACCATTGGCTTAGTGATTGACCACTTTGTGGTCCAGTGTTTGTCGTGGATCCATTGACCAGTATAATGCTTGGCACTTAGTGATGAACCGTGGTTATGGTTGTATAGTGATTTCCGTATTACATGTATATGTCAAATGATTTGTGTATTATATATGCTATGTATCAAGCTCTTTTGGCCTAACTAATTATCCATGGTGAATTTTATGCCTTATACTCTTAGTATAATATTTCTCACTCTGCCATGAGCTTATAGTTTTTTTTACCACTTTCAGGTGACATATCGGTACCAGCGTGTGGAGTAGGCACAAAGCACTTTTATTAATGTATTTTTTTTATGTAAAAATCGGCCTTTTGGTCAATACCTTTTGTAATAAAAATAGAAGCTTCAATGATTATTTTAGCACCCTTATTTAAATATTTCTTTCGCTTGCGTTTATTAATTTGTTTAAAGATTTGGCCGGAGGTAATCTCAGTTACTGGCCATCACGATGCCTAACCCTTGGGTACGGGGAGCGGGTCGTGACATAATCAATACTTGACATCATAAAATCCAGTTGTCTTAAAAAAATTACAAATTACATCAACGGTCCTTATAATTTGAGATTTGTGTTACTTTGGTCTCTCGCATTTCAATTGTGATACATTTAACTCTAAATTTTAAATCTCATTTCAAATAAGGACAATTAAATACACCATTGCTCTATTTCAAGAGTAAAGTTGTCAATTTGATAAAATATAAACTAGTTTTACAAAAATAAATGTCAAAATTATTTTTGAATTTTTAAAAATTATTTATACCTACCAAAGATAAAATTATATAAAATGACAATTTTTTTTTACATTTTTATTTATTTTTATTTTTTTACTCAATTAACTTTTAGTATATGTTTGGATGATAATCATGTAATGGGTGATTGTTTTGTTGATTTTTTCATAGTTATCATGTAATAGATGGCTGTATTTGTTGTTAACAGATATTTTTGGATGATTATCATGTAATGGATAGTTATTAGATTTTTAATGTGTAATCAACATGTTTAATATATAAGGGGTAAATTACATTTACACCCCCTGAGATTTGGCTTTAATACATATCACCCCTTGATGTTTCGAAAATTACACTGACCTCTGTCATTGTAATTATTTGAACAGAATGAAAATATTGAACTCATACACTCTCTCTTTTCTTACTTTGCTTTACTTCTTTTTTTTTTTTCCCTTTTTTTCCCCCTTTCCTTTCCTTTCCTTTATTTACTTTTTCAATATAATTTCTTCTATTTTTTTATTAGGAGTTGTTACCTTTTATATAAGTAGGAGATTTGTAAAATGAGACTATTAATTACAATAGTGGAAATATAATTTCCAGAACATCAGGAGGTGAGATGTAATCAGACCAAACCTCAGGGGGTGTCAATGTAATTTACCCATATATAAAATAGCTTTAGTTTTAAGTTTTTTGATTTAATGGATTGGTTTAATAATAATATCAAAACTGTCGCTATATTTGACTTTTGAAAAAATAGAAACTAATTTAATGAAAATAAATATATAAAAAAATATTTTAACTAAGAAAGTTTCAACATTATTCATTAAAAAAAAATTACATTTTAAATAACATACAAGTTAACAAATACAAAATAAGTTGTATGACAACTTTGCCCTTAAAATGGACCGTTTGTAAAGAAAACATTTTTAATTATTCTTATTTGGAACAATATTCAAAATTCAATGTCAAATGTATCATAATTAAAAGTTAGGGACTAAAGTGACGTAAGTTTTTATATTTCTCATTTCGTTTCAATAATTGATATAATTTGTTTATCCAAAAAATAATTAATTAATATATTTTATTTTTAATTTACAAATAGTTATACAAACCAAACTAGAATCCCTTGCGTGCTAATCTAAGAGTATTTTCAACTCACTATGCATATAATATTTGTTAGTTAAAATGTCTAACATAATCACTATTTTAAACACCAATGTACTAGTCATATGCTAATTACGAAAAGATGTGCAAAAAGTAGAGAGAAAAGAGAATCTTTGACTTTTTGGTATGGATTGTTAGCTTTTTGGCTAATTTAGTAATTTTTTGGCTAATTGGCTAAAATAGCCTCTTGCTAAACGAGACCTAAGAGTATTTTCAACTCACTATGCATATAATATTTGTTAGTTAAAATGTCTAACATAATCACTATTTTAAACACCAATGTACTAGTCATATGATTACACATTTTAACTTAACTTATATTCACTAGTTATATGTATTTAGCTTTCAAGGGTTAGGTAAAATATATTTAATTTTTAGGATCATTTATCTCTATTTTTGTTCCAGATGTAGCATTCTATAAAATTAATAGTATTTGAATAAATAACTAAAATAAAGAATGATTGAAATAAAAATATGAAAAAGTTGATAGGTAAAATAAAATGTATATTTTATAGTAATATTTGGATATGTAAAACGCCTATTAACATTGGAGATGCTCTATGGCCTCGTATGAAGACTAAACATTTTAGTAAAAAAATTAAAAAGTCACTATAAATTGTTATATTACTTTCTCTCTTCTGCACATCTTTTCATAAAAATTTATAAAATTACTAAAATAACATGTTGACAAAATAAATAAATAAATAAATAACAAACATAACCCTTAGTGCAATTTTTATTTGGGTACACTCTTGAAATTTGCTTAAAGTATAAATTGCCTCATGTAGCTTAGAAAATTACAAATACTCCATTGCTATAATTTTTTATTTAACAAAATTAACTTAAAAAATAAAATTCATAATTTATTCTCCTATACAATAATAAAATTACCTAAATTATCAATTGAAATATATTTCTAATATCATTAAAAATTATTAATTGACTTAATGATGTATTAATAAAAGTAGTGATTTGTTATGAGTGAAACATAATTTCTAGAATTGCAAGAGTGATTCGTATTTTAATCAAATCTGAAAAGATATGTTTATAATTTACCATTTTTTATTTTAATAAAAATTACTAGGTAAAGAAGAATCAAAATGAGACATTAGGGCGTGGTGCAATAATCTAATAAGTATTAGTGAATGAAAAGTTAAATATTCAAATGGATGAACAGCGACCGATCATTTAATTATAATATAATCATATCAACATATTAACACTATCTTAAAAAAATAAAAATAATAAAAATCAAAATGAGTCGGAGAACAGTCCTAATTTCGGTAAACCTATTAAAACCCACGATTTACTCTTTGTCTCTCTTTCTCTCTCGTCTTCTCCTTCGTCTCTCTCGCCGTCCCTCTCTCTCTCTCTCTCTCTCTCCTCTGATCCAAAGCTCCCAAAGCATCAAACCACCAGCTCCAGCTGTGCGCTCCACCAACCCTCTCTCTCTCTCTCTCTCTCTCTCTGCAGCACCCAACAGATCTTCAAATCTCTCTCTCTCTCTCTCTACACATACACATGATTCAGTGGTTACATCGATTGCTGAGTTGCACATGAGAGTGACACAGTAGTGAAATGACCTCTGAGAACTAGGGCTTCTTCTTTTTTTATCCAGTAGTTATGGCGACCACGCACAGCTGGAGGGACTCCTACAAGGGCATGTCCTCCGACAATATTAAGGGCTTGGTCTTGGCCTTGTCTTCTAGCGTCTTCATCGGTGCGAGCTTCATTGTTAAGAAAAAGGGCCTCAAGAAGGCCGGTGCTTCTGGGATTAGGGCAGGTACTTGGACTTCTTTTGACTTTCAATTTTTTTTTTGTTTTTTGGAATTTAGATTAATACGTAATTCATTTATTTTGATCAAATATAGAATTGCCCTAGTATTTGGGTTTGTTTTCGTAGTTCAATGAACTAATCTTGCGGATTTGGATGTTTAAGTTTGCTTTGAATCCGCAGTGTCGTTGTAAATTGTTGGAATTTTGGGTTGCTGAATCCATTGTGTTGTGTTTGTTTAATTGTTGTTATTTTATTTGCAATCAAGATGTGTTCCAGCACAGATCAAGTGATTATGGGAAAATTATTGAACTTTGCAGCGCGAGGGTGTACAACATATGGGAATTTGGATATGTATGGGTTGATAAATGATTATGCTTTGATTGAGTAAATTGGGAAATTGACCTGATCTGATTCTGAACTGATCCACTTTCTGGAAATTTGGGCACCAATGGTCAATTCAATGACCAATCCAATTATGCTCGTGAGAATTTTGATGCAAACGGCTCATTGAATTTAAATATTTGTTTCCAAGAATTTTATATTCATAATGCCGCCCCTATTTGCTTTCTCTGGCGTGCTCTCATGTTTGAGGATTTGGATTTTGAAACTCTCAACTCCAGGAATTAAGTTTGCAATCATTTTGTGGCCTTTTTTAAGTTGCTTTGTATTTCCCATGTAGAAATGGTTTATATGTTTGTTGCATTTATTACAGATATTATGTACCTTCCATTTATGTTTCCCCTACTTCCCAGCTATTTTTGTGGGCATCTTAATGCATCGGCAAAATGCAACTAAAAGGTACCCCCAAGTTAGTCCCCATTTGATGGGGGGCAGGGTCTATGTGGGCCAGTCGATTGGATAAAGACCCAACTCTTGACAATATATACACAAATTCGCTGTGCAAAGCAACTGTAAAAAAAAAAATGCCAAATTTGAATGTGTATATATTGAGCAGTGGATGAAAGAAGAGGTGCATTTGTATCTACACAAATGCGGAATTTACTGTCCCTCACATGCGTGCTTAGCTGATTAATGTAATGAACGACATTCACTTGCATATTTTTTGTCCCTTTGTAAGCACAGTATTTTGTACATGTGTTGGGTTACCCTTTCCAGAACTTTCGTGCATCATGCATTTGGCGTATGCAACCATGATTGTTTTTTTGCATACCTTTGTATGATTTGTTATAGGCGAGTAATCTTCTCATTAAAACATATTGACTATTTTGACAGGTGTTGGAGGTTTCTCATACCTATATGAGCCGCTATGGTGGGTGGGCATGATAACAAGTGAGTTTTATCTAATTATGTTTAATTTCTATTTGTTATCAATTTCAGATTTTTTTTATGGAAGTTTTGTTTCCATGACTTTTCTCCATAATGGACTGTAAAAATGGTGTTTATGATTGGTTTTATTTTTCTTTTTACAAATAAGTGTATGACTTCATGTGTATTTTTTAATTGATCACAGTTTAGATATATTATGAGACATAGCAGAAGTAAGTTCATAGCCGACCCCATTTGATGGGACTTAAGGCTTGGCTTGGTTTGGTTTGATTTGGTTTGGTTTGGTTTAGCAGAAGTTCATATGTCTGCATTGCAAAACATGAAATAATCACGTCAATTTTTTTTTTTGAAATAATCACTTCACTTGATGGATTAGAATTACTACTGATGATTGATGATGAAGATATATGAAAAATTGCACAGTAACCATGCATGCCTACATTAGAAGTAAGTTCATATGTCTGCATTGCAGAACATGAAATAATCACGTCACTTGCTGGATTAGAATTATGTCTGATTGATGATGATGATATATGAAATATTGCACATTAACATGCATGTTTGTTAACAACTCCTCATGAAAGGGAATGTGCGATGAATATAAGAAGCTCAAGGAAGAGTAAATTCAAATAAGTGGCGATGTTTGAAAATTGGCGCGATTTCAAAGAAAAAAGTGATAGGAACCATTCATAATCATGTTTCTAGTATTATTAGAGTCTTATTTTATTATTAGTTTATATTTTCTAACATTTTTATGTCACGGGTATTTTGGTAAATTTCATATTTGCTGATATGGGTTCTAGGAGTCGCCTTATGGGTCAAGTTATTTAATTTAGTTTTATTTATATTTCTTATTTAGTTTTAAATTGGTTTTAGAAGTCAAAGATATTTTAGTAGTTTTCTTTTTTGGTTATAGTTGGTTTAGGAAGTCTCAAGTCTATATGAAGTCATCTAATGCTTCTAATTCAATAAAGTTGATAACCAAACCAAACGAAGCCTTAAGTCCCATCAAATGGGGTCGGCTACATGAATCCTTCTTCTCCACGCGGCCCTATCAAAGGCCATTTCATTAGTCAAATTAAGTAGATTCATATCACTATTTATAACGCTAGTCAACGTTAATCTAGGCCTACCCCGTCCCCTAACACTTCCATCTACCGTTACAGTATCGCATCTCTCTCTGTTGGTCTCCGTTGAATATGACCAAACCATCTCAAACTATTCTCTCTCAACTTATCTTCTATCGGTGCTACTCCTACCCATTTCCGAATACACTCATTCCTAATCCTGTCCTGTCTAGTCTTACCACACATCCACCTTAGCATCCTCATCTCAGCCACACTCATCTTATCTACATGTTGTTTCTTAGTTGCCCAACACTCCGTCCCATACAACATAGCTGGTCTAATAGCCGTTCTATAAAACTTACCTTTTAGTCTAGTGGGTATTCGTTTATCGCACAATACCCCAGACGCACTTCTCCACTTACACCATCCCGCCTTAATTCAATAAAGTTGATATTTTATAAAAATTTGAGACCTTTGAAACTTCTTTATGGATTATGTGATGCAATCAAATCTTAGGTGATGCTTACGGAATCTATGTGCGATGCCTAGACCTCTCTTCTTCTCCTCCTTTCCCTCTTTTTGTTTTCTGCACTTTTAAGTTTTAACAGCCCAAAATACTGTTTACCATACTGTTCACAGTCTTTTAAAAGTGCACTTTTCAACCTCAAAATCCTATCCAATCATCCCCAAAGCAAGCCTAATCCCTTCCCCTACCTATATGCCTTTAATTTATCCCGTAAAACCCTAAAGTACACACTGTTTAGGCCGTCAAATAGCCTCTGTTTCGCAAATCCACTAATTGTCAATGTGGTTTGCTGTATGCCAAGTCTATTAAAAACCCTCTCATGGAAAGAAAAAGAAAATTTAGTGACAAAGTTGGAGAACTGTGGAATTCAATGGAGTGAGAGCCAAATGGCCTCTGATAAGATATCTCCATACTATCTTAATAGGATGATTTAAGATCCAATTCTTTGGTGACCTTCCTATATTAATTTTGAATTTCAAAGAAGTTATATATAAATCTCTTTAGAAGAGGCATTGTAATTGTAACAAAGCCCAATTGAAAGAGACATGGAAGTTAATTATAGACTAGAGTCATATGAGTCCAAAGCTGTCAACTTGCTAAGCTGATTGTTTGAGAATGTTGAAGTATTTAATTTGAATGTATATTGAAGTACATAGTTTAGGATGTTATTTGGTGGCTATTTGGCACTCCCATTTGTTCCCAAACTAGAGATGATCAAACTGGGCATTTCAAGATATCAGGCTAACCTCATTGTTTATTATGATTTCAACTAGTTATAGTTAGTCATTTTATACTCCATAACCTTCCTTTCTTCCAAGCAGCTTGAAATTTGGCAAGCATGGTGTGAAAGGGAAAATGTAACCCAGAAGTAGGATTGCCTGAATGTGGGTCCCAACAAAATTATTTAGGAGATGTAAGAATAAAAAATTCAGACTTGGTGTACATCGATGATAGCTAGTTTAGTTTGAGTGCATTTTATTTGAAGCTTTGTGGGTTACTATTTGTTGACAGAATTATCTGTTTTTCTAGATTCTTACATCTGTAGAAAAGGAAAAATCTTGTTAAAATCATCAAATGAATAGAGTAGGCAAATATTGTATAAAGGTTAAAGGAATAGTTACTCTTCTCTTCAAATTTTAAAAGTTCGGCAGAACTGTAATAATTGTTTATTTCCTTAAACTTCTAATACTAAATATTGCACCTTGAACATGTCGTTCATTATTTCATAAATCCAATTGTGTCTGGTCTGCCATTGGATATTAGAACTTCTAATGTAATTTGAAGCTCCTTTTATATTACCTTTCATAGACTTATCCAACTCCCAAGAGGAACTGACAAGTTATTTTTTTCTCTCTTCATTTTCCCTTTTTCAATTCTTCCACTTGATAATAAGGAGAAGGAAATGATACAAACCTCTGGCTCCGTCACGAGTTCTAAAAATGTGATTTTTTCATAAAAAAAATTTAGTCCTTATTGTTGAATAGCTTGATATACATCGTTGGACCCATTCTAACAACTTAAGCTTTTGGAATTAGTGGTGATCTAATCTGACATAGTATCAGAGCTTAGGTCGGGGGAGGTATTGGGTACAAGTCTCTTCATTTTCATTTGTTCGCCATTTGCATTCTTTTGTATCTCCTTTGCATTCTTTTTTCTTTCCATGTATGGGTGTTTGCATTCTGTACATGCATGATGGGGCTGCATGTGAGGGAGGTTGTTAAATAGCTTAATATACATTGTTATGCCTATTTCCTAACAACATAAGCTTTTGAGACTTGTGGTGATCTCACACTTACTACCCTGCCACGCAAGTTGCATGTAGTGCATAGCTTTTACTAAAAATGTGAGTTAACATATGCTCATTTTTGTAACAGTGATTGTTGGAGAAATTGCTAATTTTGCAGCTTACGCATTTGCACCAGCTATTCTGGTTACTCCTCTTGGTGCGCTCAGCATTATTATCAGGCATGACAGCATGTTGCGCAACATTTTTAACTTTGATTCTTTGGTTTGACTGCTAAAGACCTTGTTGTATTGCAGTGCGGTACTTGCTCATATCATTTTAAAGGAGAAGTTACATATTTTTGGGATTCTTGGTTGTGCTCTCTGTGTCGTGGGTTCTATCACAATTGTCCTACATGCTCCTCCAGAACGTGGGATTGAATCTGTGAAGGAAGTGTGGGATCTTGCTACTGAGCCAGGTCAATTTTTGCTCTTAGTACTGGGTTTTTGCTAATCTATAACATTTGTCTATCTCTTTACCTGTTTCTATTGTTTTCATGCTTACTCTTGTGTTTAATTTTTAAAATTAATAACAAGCTGGATTTAAATTCCACTTTTCTTCTTATTAGGTTTTCTCCTTTATGCGGCTCTGGTGGTAACAGCTGTCTTTGTACTTATATTTCACTATATCCCACAATATGGTCAGACACATATAATGGTCTACATTGGAGTTTGTTCTCTAGTTGGTTCTTTGTCGGTATGTAATGGCATTTTGTAGTTGGAGTCTCCTTCGTTCTCTATTTCTTGTTTTAGTTCCCTATATATTAATTATTCTAAAGGATATTGTGTGACAGGTCATGAGTGTCAAAGCACTAGGAATTGCCTTGAAGCTAACATTATCAGGAACGAACCAACTCATATATCCCCAAACATGGGCTTTCACTATTGTAGTCATTACTTGTATACTTACCCAAATGAATTATTTAAATAAGGTAATGAGTTTTTCTATTTTGTTTTCTATCGTTGACATTTTCAGTCATTCTCTGCATAGTTGCTGTTTATACTTGCTTTCTGATTTACTGTGTTATGGTTATTAGCAGATACTGTATTTCAAGATAAATTAATTCATATTTTGCAATTCCTTCTCTGCTAATTAGCCATTTGTCAAGCTTCTAAAACTGACTGTTCTTTTCGTTTTGTTATTTAAGTCTATGAGACGAGTCGATTCAGGTTTTCAGTATTTCTTGAGCTGCAATGATACCAACAATCAACTATAGGTGGACTGCAGTAGATCCAATCCCTCATAAGCATCTGTGGAAATGGCATGCTCTCACAGAAAATAATCTAGGATTGCCTCTTTCGCTGTTAATGGAACAGTTTCCTTATTGTGGGAAATTTATGTTTTTTTACCTGATTGGTTTGTCCTATATAAATGACTTGCAGCTGGTGAACCAACTGTTTTTGCAGTTCAATAATCAAACATTATTTAACCACGTGCTCATGTCATTAGTTGGGGATACTTCATTTAGTGGTTATATATTTGCTTATTCATAGGTTTTACTGGTATTACTGTTTAGATGTGTGTTCAATTATCTCAGAAATGTGTTAACTGCAAAATACTGAAATTAAGAGTGGAAACTCCATGTATGTTTTTACCACTTTATTTTCTACTACATGGATTGGATTACTGAAGGAGATTTGTTGCAATGATATGTGGGGAGATATGACCCATTTTCATTTTCTGCATCTTTGGACTTGTGTTCTCTTTTGAATACACCTAAATTTTTTGCCCGAATTAATTAAAATAGTAACTCAATGAACTGAATGAGAATGCCTGCCTCAGTTGCTTTGACACAGGTAGCAAGTTTAGAAAGTGATCAGATTCAATAAATTTTCACTGTCATGATAGATAGCAGGATTATTATTATTATTATTTTTTTGGATAAATAGCAGGATTATTATTATTATTATTTTGAATATTTGCTATTATTTGTTAGCTCCCTTGTTTACCCCTTTACGAATTGTTTCCGTTTATTGCTTTACTTTGAGTGCAGGCCCTTGACACGTTCAACACAGCTGTTGTATCTCCAATATACTATGTTATGTTTACATCTCTAACCATTTTGGCTAGTGTGATCATGTTTAAGGTAATTCTTTTGAAGATGAAAATAGTTAAAAACATTCTTCCTTGAGAATATGTATCATATAAGAACTGTAATATACTTTTCTGCAAACAACTTCCCTGCTTCTCTCTCCCTCTCCCTCTCATTAGTAATCCATGAGAGCCTTGTTGGTTGTTGTCATATATAATCTATGTTCATATTGATTGACTCCCTGATCTCCGATTTATCATATGATATGAACGACCCTACTGTTCTCTGAAGAAGTTGAGAAGAGAAATTTGTTTGACTTACATAAATGTGAAAACAAAAATTTAAGGTCTTGTGCACCCATGTAATTGGTAAGAAAACATTCTATCAAAAAAGCTTATGTGAAGAATATTATTCATCATAGGGGAAAACTATTTGAATTTTTGGTACATGCCTCCTATTGAATTGTGGACCATTGGCTAACTAACTTTAAAAAATAGAAAATATGAAAGGGGTAAGGTGCTCGTAGAAACTACAGGTTTTAGATTTTGCACACATCTCCATGATTTGTTAAGAGTTAATCTTGTGTAAGATTTCCAAAAGCAAGGATGTATTTAATTAAAATTTTCTTAGAATGAGATTGGCTATGTACTTTGATACTGATTCATATTAGATCACATGGACTAAATTGTAATGGGTCGAGGACACCCTAACATAGTAAAAGAAGATGGAAATAAAGAGCATAAAGGAAACAAAATGGAGTGAGGCTGTTATATATACATGTATCTATATATTTTGTGGAAGTAATTCTTGATCATCAACTTGATCTATTTTCCATTCGATTTATGTTGAGGTCAAAGTTGGTAACACGCATTTTGATAGTGTTGCTCATGATATAAAGATTGATTGTGTTGTGTATATAGGATTGGGATAGGCAGAATCCAGCCCAGATTGTAACGGAAATGTGTGGGTTTGTGACAATCCTGTCAGGGACCTTTCTTCTTCACAAAACGAAGGACATGGTTGATGGTAATGGTAAGGATCGTTTACCTTATCTTTTATGTTCTTTATATAATTTTGTTATGTTGACACCCACCGAAGACCAATGGGTGCCTGAGAGACTGGTGTCACCAGTTTTCAATTATATTTTGCGACTAAAATTTAAATTTTCTATGATTTCCTGCACACTGGATGATACCCATTGTCAAATCGTATGCAGGTTTGTGCACATCTTCATCCATGCGACTTCCCAAGCACATGGATGAGGAGGATGGTTACGAACAGGAAGGCATTCCTCTCAAGCATCAGGACTCATTGAGATTGCCGTAACACATTCTCACTCTTCCCTCAAACTCATAAGCTTCTTTGGGAAGGGGATCTCTTGGTATGTCAACTTGTATTTTATAAGCATTCGATCCAACCTATGTGTTCATTGTGGGATACAGTAGGAGAAGAAGAAAGGGGAGAGGTTTTTAATTTGTTTTTGCTTTTCCCATTTTGGACCCCTTCCCTTCGAATACAAGAGACAGAAATTACAAATGTAATATTGGGCCTGTTGGTTAAATGTAAAATGAATTTTTCCCTTCATTTTTGCAGAGAATTATCAGAGACACCTGAGTACATCATTAATTTGCCATCCTTTTCACAATGCAAAATAAAGTTTTAACTGAAAATGAAGTCTCTACCATGACTTTCCCAGAGATGTACAGTATATTCAACTTCTAAGTACACAAGAATTGCAAATTGCTTATTAGCATGCCATTATCATATGTGCGGAATTAGGCAAAATAATTATCCTGTTGTCAATGAACATCTAAATTTTAGGTCAATCATAAAAAGTTCAAAATGTAAGTGGTTTCCAATTCATTTGAACTCAGAAAGATGTAAATCATCAGTCCCAAGTGCAAAAGAATACACTGTTGATGTGAATCATCAATTGTATTAAGGGGTTGTTTGGGATGTCTTAAATAAGTGTACTTTTTGACTTTTTATGAAATATAGATTGAGTATGGAATGAGTTTGAAGTGATGTGATAGAGAGGTGATGTGACTTAAATAAGATGATGTGACTTAAATAGAATAGTGACTTTTTGACTTTTTGAATTTTTTTGAAGATACCAAACTTGACCTAAAAGAACAATATGAAGGCGATATTTTCAAAGATGTTCCATAAAATAAACAAATAATATAGACAAATTGAGGGGATGTTCAATTTACACTACTCTCTTGTCTCCTAACACTAATTTTTTTAATTACATCACCCTTCCAAATTTAAAATTATCATTATATCTCATCACATCCTCTATAATCCCAAATGTACTCTTACCCCCTTGACCTCTGCCACTACGACCCAACCTCTTCCTACTGCTATTGAGAGAGAGAGATAAATAGATCTAGAGTTTAGAGAAGAAGAATAAGAGAAGGGGAGCAAGGGGGTCGTGGCGGGGATTGAGAGCAGTGGTGGTGTTGTGCACCCATGTAATTGGTAAGAAAACATTCTATCAAAAAAGCTTATGTGAAGAATATTATTCATCATAGGGGAAAACTATTTGAATTTTTGGTACATGCCTGAGAATTAAGGTTTAGGCTTTTAGGGTTTGGGTAGTTTTTGGTACTTTTAAATAGGGATAAAATTGTAATAAAAAATTGAAAAAAAATGAGGTATGTAATGAGGTATTTTTGCAGAGTAAATTGAAGCACCCCCAATAGAGGCAAAACTTTCATGATTACATTTTATGACCTTCAGTCTCTCTCAAAAGCTTCCAGCAGCTAACAAGTAGAAATCAAACGGAATCTAATATATATGTGTTATCATAAAGTCATAATATTTTCTTTCATTTGTATTTCTATAAAAAGATCCTTTGAAAGGTACACCTGATTTTATCCCCTGTTCTAGTGTCTTATTACAACATACGGTGGAGGCAGACCGAACTTCTTACCACCGCCATGATAGAATTCTGATAACTTGCAAAATTCACTTCTGATAACAACCATTTTCTCGCTCGTTCTCTCTTGGGGTTAGCTTCTCAGTACTCCAAAAGAAAACCAGAAAACCAGAAAACAAAAGGACAGAACCATAACAGTCCATCTTCAGGCAAAATATGGTTAGAATTTTGACTCTTACTTGGGCTTTTGATTTAGAAGGCCAGATACAGAAGCACAATGTGTTGACTTGTAACTACATTTCTCACAGCAAGACTGAAGCAATTCAATGACGTTAAGGCACCTACACAATTTGAAGTTTAACTTAAAACCAAAGCACAGAAGATAACGAATCATTAGGTTCAATAAAATTACAATAAATAGAGAGATTAATCACTCGGGTAAAGAACAAACTATTAACAACTAAACAGAGTTAAGCTCACTGCTTACTGCAGACAAAGTAGAACATATTGAAACCCTCGCCCATATATATAGTGAGAAACAGATCAATCAATGGTGAACAAACTGACCTCACAACATTCCCACATTTCAGAACATAGGTTCTACATACTATCATCAATTATGGGGTAGCTATTTAGTATATATGTCAGATATCAAGAAAAACCCATAGCCATGATATCATGTCTGGCGAATAGAAGAAAATAACATGGCAAATTACCACACAAAAAAACATGGTTTTACCCCAGTATACTAATAACTAAAACCTTGAGTTTTTAATTTCTCCAATTTAAACCGTGGTCCTTTAAATTGGTCCTAGTTCACGCCATCCGTCCATCTCTGTTTAAAGGCACCAACATAAATTATTTTTGCAACATACAAGCCATCATCTTATTCACCCTTTTAACTTGATGTCAATCCCAACTTCACCTTAACTACTCCAAATCACAACCACCATCGTAACCACCATCTCAATCATACCATATACCTAAGTACCTAACTACACCATTCTCCTCAAGAAAATTGAAATCCTCATTGTCATTGGCCTTGTTCAATGATGAGTTGTTAGGAGGAGCCACAGAGCAAAAGGTGTTGGAGAGAGAGAGAAAGAGAGAGAGAGAGAAGAGCCCAGGTGGCCATGGTTAATGGTGATTACTGACAGTGTAAGGAGAGAGACACTAGAAAACCAGAGAATGGGTTTGATGGTGACAACAGAATGGAAGCAGGTGGTGAGAATGGCGGGAAAGGGTGGACTGGCGGGAGTAGTGGAGCATGGTGCCAGGAAAGGAAGTGGCAGTTGTGGTAGTGGTGGCAAAAAGGGTGGTGTGATGGCACCTGTGGTTGTCTAAGGTGATCACTACATATGTCAATTATATGATATATTAACAAAAACTCTTGCTTTTCGTCATTTGTGGACTGTTGGGGTGGGCAAGCTGATTATTGATGTAAGCATTAAGACAAGGAAAGACCCTTGGAGATGAGTTAGGCCAACTAGGTAACAGCAGATGTGGTTTTGCAATGAGGGATGAAAAAAACTAGCCTGTAGGAGGAGATGTCCGACATTCACAAAGTCCGGAGACGAAGATAGAGATCTTCTATTTATAGAAGGGTGGCCAACTAACATGGTCATTTGTCCAATAGAAGACAAATGAATAAAAACCTTCCTTTACTTGGCTCAACAACCAAGAGGTAACAATCACTATTAGTTGTAGCATCAGAATTTTCAAAGGCCACAGTTATTGCGACGGTAGCCAAACGTGCTTCTTGGGTATGGGGAAAGTATGAGTAATGCCATGTGTCTTTGTCATGTCATTAGACTGTCTTTATGTGGACTTCTCTCTTAGACACGACAAGGTGCAAGTCCCTCCAAGGGAAATGGGATGAGATAGCTTGACAAATCTCAACTCTAGTCACCAGCTCACAAAATCTTGTTGATCCCGTATGAGGGTTTGTGGGGCCGCTCAAGCACTCAATGATCACAATTCCTAGACATTGCTCTTAACTAGGCTTGTGTGGGCAAATTAGGATGCCTTCGGAGAACTAAGTGTGAGACACAAGAGTAGTGCGCTTGAATGAAGAATTGTTTGGCCGACAGTCACAATGCGATGATCCACTTGTAGACAATTTGAAGACTCTTGCCCAAAGAGCATGGTGGAGGAAAGAGGATTAGCAATACAAAACAGACACAATAAATAAATAATCAAGCGTCGAAAGAGTGCCACTTCACTACCATCAGAGAGTGCAGTTGAGAGAGTTGACCCTTGGCGGAGGACAATTGAGATGAATTGCTCAGAGTAGCTTGAGTTTGCTCAAAGGAGCATTGGCAGAGGCCATTTGAGATGTGGGATGTATTATCAGCAAGCTCGGAGGAGCAATGGCAACGAGGATGTTGATGGTTTGAGTGGAGGAGAATGTTAGGGATTACCCATTCAAGGCCAATACCGTGACACCAATCCAAGGGAGGGTCGAGTGCATGTATTGCAAGTGGAGGTAGGCATGCTTGGGTGGAGGACAAGCAACATAGTGGTTGATATGCTAGTGTGCTGGGGCTTCCTAGTAGGGATGGCAATTTAAACCCGGCCCGACGGGGACCCGATCCCCCGACCCCGAAATAAATGGCTTTTTCCCGAAAAATATCCCCGCGGGGACGGGGATGGTATTAAAAAATCACTCCCCGATCAATTTCGGGCCGGGGACGGGGATAACTGTCCAAGCCCCATACCCGCCCCGCCCCTCGCCCCAGTTTGTTCCCCGAATTAAAATTACAATTTCACCCCTATATATATATAAAACCTAGACCTAAAACATTACCCTCACTCATTCAAACTCACTCATATGCTGCTGCTCTCTCCTCTCTCTAACTGAGGATGCTCTGCTCTCTTCTCTTTCTCATCGACGAGGCTCTGCTGCTCTCTCCTCTCTCTCACCGACGATGCTCCTCCCTCACCGCTGCTGTGCTCCCTCACCGCCGATCCTCCCACTCTCTCTCACACATACGACGGTGACGGCTCATCCTCTCTCACCGGCATCGCGGCGGAAATTCCTCTCCCTCTCACGGAATCTCCTCTCCTCTCCTCTCCTCTCTCTCACGGTATCTCCTCTTCAATCGTGACTCTCTCTCTCTCTCTCTCTCTCTCTCTCTTTGATTTTTGCTTTTGCTCTACAGATCTGGTTCTTCAGATCTGAAAAATAATGAAGCAGATCTGTTTTTTTTTTTTTTTTTTGATAAATAAACTTAGATTTGTTGGTGATCTAATATGTAAGACGAGATGAGTTATTTTTGTTGTTGTTGTAATATGTAAGATGATCCAAATGATGAAGATGATGTTGTTGTTGTTGTTGTCGATGATGTTGATGTTGTGGTTGATGAGATGAGTTTTTTTTTTTTTTGGCCGGGGAGTCTTTGGGGTCGGGAAAATCCGATCCCCATTAGGGGCGGGGGGCAGGGGCGGTGATTGGTACCCCGTCGGGGATTGGGGCCGGGAACGGAGAAATTTCCACCATCGGGGATCAGGGACAGGGAGGGTGATCCCCGGCCCGCTCCGCCCCGTTGCCATTCCTACTTCCTAGAGATTGTCCCCAATTGGCTTGACTTGATGCTAAGGCATACAACACAAGCCAACTCTTAATAGAGAAGAAACACACAATGAGGACCTAGTTAATCCACGCGTCACCTCACGAGACACCCTATGGGATCAAAGCACATTGAGAATGTGATATGGCATGTACACCTCTCTTTAGTTGACCACATGAGGTGAATTATGAGCCTGTACTATTGTGTCGGGTGAGAAACAACCACTTCATCAAAACACTAACTATCACTCTTATCAACGGAATAGCACGAGTTCACCATGATATGGTGAGATGCTTCTCTCAAATGAAATATTTCGTAGTAGAATTAGGGGGAAAAAAAAAAGTGATTGAAAAGAATCATAAGAACAAAGAAGAATAGATACACAATTCAACTTTGGAATAAAATCCAGTTAGACGCTGCACATGAGCAGGGTTTTATATTAAATCATGTACTCTCTTTTTTGGCTCAGATTTCATAGCGTATTTAATAACCTAAAATAGGTATATCATGGAGGAAAGAGGATTAGCAATACAAAACAGACACAATAAATAAATAATCAAGCGTCGTCGCAAATCTATGAAATCAAATTACCAAATCATCTAAAACATTATAAACTGTAAACCCTAATCACTTAAATCATCAAAATTAATCAACCGACCAGTGAAAATTAAAAATTAAAGAAAAAAACACACACACACACACACACACACACACACACACACATAAACGAAGACAAATGAAGAAGTTCAAATTTCTTCATTTTTACAGCGATTTCTCAAAATATTTTGGTGAAAATAAGACGAAGAAACGTACTTTCGAGAGTCGAAGTTGTTCTTGGATAGACAAGCTTGAATGTCACACGCATATTTCTTACACGGCTCTTTGATCTGCTGTGCCATCTCTTTTCTCTCTCTCTAAATTGGAATTGGGAAGTTGATCATTCACTGCGCAGGAATGGCGGCCAAACGGGTCATCGTCAGTTGCTTAAAAAATGCGGGAACTCCACGCTTCCTACTATGCCACGTAATAAATAAAGTTTTATTTACTTATTTATTACACGTAATAAGTAGAAAAAATTACTAATAATCCATTGGATTTACATTCCAACATTTTGTTGTAAATTTTATCATTCGTGTTTAGGGCTGGGCAACGGTTTATTCGATCCGTAAAAACTACTCAATCCGTCCAACCAGCATATAAATGGACGATTTTGCAACCACAATACGAGCGGATGTGATTTGAAATATGACATGTTTGCGGGTTGCAGGTTTAACCCGTAAAAATCCGCCTGCACTTTTTCTTTTTTCTTTTTTTTCTTCCATTGATTTCATTCTTACATTCTACCTAAATATTTTTGCCCAAAACAAAATACTCTTTATTCTTTGAACTTACTCTAACATTACATTTGCTAATAGTATTATATCAATTGAAACTGAATAAATATTGATCATATATTATTGTTACATAACTGAATTTGTCCCGGATGAAGTATGATTTTAAATTTTAAATTCCTTAATGAATATGAATTTCTAATTTAGGATTTTGAAATATGTGCTTGTGTTAGTTTATGATTTGATTTAAGATTTTGAATGATTTGTTTGTATTACAAATTGATTTTGTTGTGTTTTTAATTTTATAAGTTTTAATTAATTAATTAATTATTAATGTTGGAGCATTTTAGAAAATGGGGAGAAAATGACCCAAAATAAATATTTACAAAATAGAAAAAAAAATAAGGTTCAAAAATAAATTTTTGAAGAAAAAAGTTCAATCCGTAAACCGTCCGTACATCTGCGAATCCTATCTGCACAAATCGCGAAACGCACTGCCGGCGGTTGTAGGTTGTCTTTTTCCCAAACCGCATAGATGCGGGCATGTCCGAATCGATCCACAAACCATCCAGACCCAAACTGTGAACACTATTCGTATTAGATTTTAATAGATATTATATCTAACAAAATTAATTAAAAATTTTAATTGTATAACAAATAATGCAAAATAAACATATAGTTGAGATTATATATTTTTCATATCCATTATAAAACAAATGTGAAAAAAGATTAAAAAAATTATTACACTAATCAAATTGGATAATCAATTCTACACTAATGTGATAGATTATTAATCCTCTCACTATTATTCCTGTTAATTAAATATGTCCAAGAAGTATTTCAATTTTGGTCCTAACTTAAATTTGTCTCATTTTCCTGTTTAAATTAAGGCATTGGTTGATTAGAAAGATTAATAGTTTGAGGATTAACCAATTATAAGATTAATATAAAATTAGTTATTCAGTTGGATTTATGAGATAAATAATTCTTGCATGTTTATGATTTTAATTATATGTTTATTTTTCATTATTAGCTGTACGATAAAAAAAACTGCCAATTTTATTAAATAAAATATTTATTGAAATATAATTTAAATGACAAAAATTAAAATTAAATAATAAAATGTAAATCTTATGAATTAATTAGGGGAATTAACTGTTTAGTGTATATTTGTAAAAAAATTTAAATTAAACTTTAAAAATTTTAGTTTTTTTTATTATTTATTGATAAATTACAAATATACCAGTTAAATTTGTTCAAAATATGATTTATCTCTTGTGATTTTGAAAATTATATCACCCTCATTGAAATTTTTAATTTCATAACAAAACTTATTTTATTAATAAATTACCAAGCTAATTAACAAATTTTAATGATATGAGAAATTTATTTTAATCAATAATTCAAATAATTTTAAAATTACATAAAAAAGTGGTTAAAAATTTTAATTTTTCTAGTAATTATATTAAATAATTTTTTAACAAAGAAATATTTATAATTTTTCAAATCATAAAAAATAATTTATAATTATGAGAACAATCCGCATCTCTTGTGTTTGTAGTTTACCCTTTATTTATTTGTTGGAAATCATGTTTGAGGTTGATTAGCATTTTTCATTCGCAGCCAAACAAGCTACCAAAAATATATAAAAAGATTATGGATATTAGTTTCTTCCAAGGCTAAGCTACCAAAAGCTTATTGGATATTATGAGTTGGTTTTTTAATTTTTTAATTATTTTAATTTGAAATTAAAAAATTTTATTTAAAAAGAAATTATTTTGATTTTTTTAACTTTTTAAGAGTAAAAAAATATAATAATTATAAGTGAAGTATGATATTTTATTTTATTAAATTAAAAAATCAATTTTATTTTTTTAGGATTAAAATAGTCCCAAACCCAACTTAACCCGATCCATTTTTTCTGATGAAAAAAAAAAAAAACAAAAAAAACGAAGCCAAAGTTCAATTAGTTGGTTTGTTGATCCAAGTCTCTCTCTCTCCAAGATGGGAAGTAGAGGGCAGTTAATGGAAGTTTGGAGACCAAAACTAAAGCAGGCATCACTACTCTGGTTCCATGGTTTCACAGAAGCTCTCTCTCTCCACAGAGTCGTCATCTACTGCCTCAGGTTCTCTCTCTCTCTCTCTCTCTCTCTCTGTGAATATATATATGTTATTGCTTCAGAGACACGCTCAATTTTTGACATTTTCCCATGTCTTATCTTCGTCAACTGAAGGTCGAGAGAGCTTGCGATCCGAACAGGGCAGTGTTTTATCTTAAACGGCTTGATTTTCTTAGGAAGGTTTCTCTCTCATCCTTCGTCTCTCTCTGATCACCCTATGGTTATATGTATGTATTTATATGCGTATGTATGTGTGATTTGTCCAAACGAATATATTTGCATTGTTTTTGAGGGTTTCGGATTCCAATTTGTGCTAGAATGTGTTTTGTTTGTATACAAGTTTTAATTTTTGTTGATTGTGGACGCTCACGATACCTTTTCAGTAGAATTGAATTAGCTTAAATGTGTTTGTGTTTGTTAATTTGTGAATCTGCATATTTACACTATTATTGGTTTTTATTCAAGTAACTCTCTCTCTCTCTCTATGTAGTTTATTAGTAATCAAAATTGATACTAGTGTATTTGAATTCTATAACATGATTTCTTAATTGGGTGATGCTGCAGTTTTAGGCTTTAAAAGTTTTTGCTGGACAGAGCTAGGGTTCTGGCCCTTTTGGTATTGTTTTCATTTTTTTTATGGGTTTTGTTTTTCTTGTTTTTGTCACAAAAATTGGGTTGGGGGAGGGGGGAATTGTTTGAAAAATTATCTTTTGTACCATTTTCAGTTTTTTAAATGTGTTTATGATTTTGTTTTGTTTTGTTTTATTTATTTTTTCTAGAACTTCGAACACAATTTAAAATTGTTTTATGAAATTGGCCTATATATATATATTTTTAGGAAACATATTTCTAAAACAGTTCCATCAAATGCATTTTTGGCATCGGTTTATTTTTATTTTTATTTTTTGTATTCAAGAATAGAAGGCAATTTTTTGAATGATACCAAATGCACCCACTTTTATTGAAATTATTGTGTCTCAAAATTTTCTTATATTTTTCTCTTGAAGTCAACTAAACCCACATAAAATTACTTAATCATGCTTATTAAAATCCCCTGAGCTCAAATTGTCTCCATAGCAAGTGCAAAAAGACCCAAAAAATGCACATAAATTCCCAAGAAAAACTATTATTGATTTTATATAACCAATTGGCACTCTCTAAAATATAAGAAGAGTACCATCAACAACTTAAATCTTTTTCTAGTATCAAGCTAATGCAAAATATTACGAAATCTCTCAGCCTTATTGACTTGAATGATCAAAAGATTCATAAAAAATGAGTGAAGCAACAAACAACAATAGAAAATCTACTGCAGTTGGCTTATTTTGAGATTACTTCTGATAGATGGACATAAAACTCTTTTTATTTTATTTTTGATAAGTAAACCAATTTGTTACTGCAAGGCATCAAAATAGGTCCTTACACAAACAAATTTTTTTGAACCCATACATCAGCCGAAAAACCAAAAATCGATATGAAAATTAAAAAATGATCGAAGAGAAGGATATACCCCACATGTCACTTCACTTAAAAGGATGCTCGAAAAATGCTCTTAAATCTGTGAATTGGTTCTTTGAGACTAAAAGCCTGCCAATTTCTCAAAACAAACAGCGACATCCTCTTGCAATTGTTCTTCTTGCAATTGTTCTTCCTTCTTTAACTCATTGTGATGCCCTTCCACTTGTTCTAAGTCTTCTTGATACTGGAACACTTAAGATAGACCAAACAACACCAGTAGGAGGGACCAAAATTCTCTAGTCACCCTTTTATAAATTAGAAGATGATCTATTGGCTCTCCATCTTCCTTTCACAAATGGCATCAATTTGAGAACACTTCCCTCTAGAATTGGCATTTTCCATGGGCACAAAGATCCCCTCCACAAAATGAATCTTAGAGTCCAAATTATATAAGAGATGGTCACAAATAAAATATGAAGGATTGAAAATTTGGGGAAGCTTGAAAAATGTGTATTAAACATAAAATTTATAGCTAATAGTGTAAGATTTTTGAATAACGTGTAATTGTGTTTGTAATACAAGAATACATCTGATTATACAGCAATCCTAACTCTAAGACTAAAAAAGAAAGAGAAGATTTACACAATCCCCCATAATCTCTCATAATATATACAAAATATATACTACCATATGTATAGATAATACACAAAATTATCACCAAGAATAGGTTCTACGTCATGTATTACCATATTATATACTTACCTTTGCTTTTATAAGTAATGTACACACTTTATCTGAATTTAGGATACACTAATATTCTTACAAATAGATTTGGTTATATATTCAAGTGGAAACAAATTGCTTTTCATACTCAAATTTTACTCCTATACCCCAAGAGAGAAACTTCGTTTAGTCCTTGCATAGGCTTGTTTCTTTTGTTGTCATCACATTTACAGATTTCTTTTATATCTGTCATTTAGTTGGTAAAAATTTATATTCATTATTCTTGTTAGTAAGGGTAGCCCTTGGTCCTTGACAAAGTAAAATGGCAAAAGAAGATTCATTTAGCTAACCTTACCTGATTAGGACACAAGACTTGGTTTGGTATTCTTGTCAGTATCGGTGATAGTTAGCTTTTGCTTTATATTATTGAGATTTATGTGCTAAGAGTTAATATTAATTTTTTTTTAATGTATCATTGTATCCTTTTGTTGGATTTTTGAATTGTGAATTTCAAACCATTTGTAGCGCTATCTGATATTTTTCATTACTTAATCTCTATCTCTTGCAGTATCTTTGTTCTAAAGTCTGTTATTATTCCAACACTACAATGGATATTACCTGATCAGTGCCCACAGACTGTTTCTCAAGAACCATGCTCATTTGATGGTATTTTAGAACTTTATTCTTCCTTGCGTCTTGGACTCCTACAACTCGTCTATGTGAGTACACACTTGACATATATCTTTCCATGGACTCTCTTATGTAGTTTTTATACTGTTATAAATGAGAAAATGTTTTGTACTAATTTTACCGACTGCCATTTAACTTATATTTTTGCTGGAAAATTTGCATTGGATGTGATAAATTTTCGTCTGTGTTATGAAAATCTTACTAGTTAGTTAAACGTACAAGGCTCGTTATATTGGAATATTCTTAATATCCAGTATTATTATTGTAATTTATGAGATTTGGAAGTTCCCCTTAGGTTACATGTGGATTTGAATAAATGTAATCATTTTACAGGCTGTAGCTGATTTATATGATGGATTTCTTGCATAAAACGTTATAGGCAGTTACTTTCTACTAAGGAAACTAATTACGAAATCATGTAATCAACTTTAAATGGAGCAATTGTCAATATATCTATACTTTATATATCATCTCCTTGTGTGTTTTACTTTCTTCTAGTTTTCTTGAAGTATTCTATCCGATTCCTTTTATTGGGTAATGTTTCCTCATTTCTGTATAATATCTGTTTTTCTTTTCTCTGAAGGAATTTATGTTTTAGCTATAAAGTCCACTTTGCCTGGTTCTGATTAGTTCATTTGATTATTCTTTCAGGTATTATGGTTTTATCCATTGTACATATTCAGCTTTATTATAAGCAGCATGTGGTATGCCTCTTTCATTTTGATTTTCCTTTGTCGTTAAATTTACTTCATGTAGTTTATTTCCATGTAGTTTAGTGACTTAGGTCTACGCTAAAGCAAAGACAAGAAGGGATGGTTACTGCATCTGTATTGGTGTTTTTACCACGGGGTTCCAATGTCATATTGATTTGTTTATTTGAGCATGATGGCCTTTGGTACTAATTGAATATTTTTCTTTTTGCCAGCTAACCTGTCACGAATTGTTCTTTACTCGACCATACCCATTCACATTAGATCAACAATCGAAGTAGTTGAATTTTATTTATAGGCTAGGTTACATCCATCAAGACAACTAAACTACTTTTCTCATACACGTTATCTGGTGCAAGATGCTTTCTTGGTGACTTCTAACATTGCATGCATCAACCGCTTTATCCTTACATGCATAAAAGAGAATTAAGTAATGGAAGACAAGTGCGAAGAATGCTGTCCTACAATAGATCTAGAAATTAATGTCAATAGCAGGCTTTGTGACGTGAAGAGTTGGCTATGTTTTGAAGGGAGTGAACACTGGAAATTCAAGAAAATTCTTGCTATACTTTTGGGACTGCAGTTGGGTATTTAAAATTAGGCAGATCGGGAATAAAGTAGGAATTTTGTGGCTGTTTGGGTAATGTGTACCATACATGTGGACAGTAGCTAGGCTGAGTTTTTAGTTTTTTGGGTATTAGGTTAAGAGGTCTGAGGAGCATAGGATTTAGGCTTGTCAAATAGTATTTTAAGTGTAGGAGAAGGTTAACAATGTCTAATTTTAAGTTCAGAAAGACCTGATATTGTATAAATTAAAAGAAAAATGAAGAGAAGAAGAAGAAGAAGCTAGGCATCGCTTTCAAATTCCCTAAGGCATCAAGCCTGGGGATCAAACTACAGCACACATTTAGAATCTTTAGAATCACAAATAGGATTTGAAGAAGTTCATAGCTATGTAAGAAGTTTAGTCCTTCCATGCTTTTGGATCCCTTGACTTCTTACTTGACATCATGGAGTGATGGAGACTATGTCCTCAATTTGCAGAATGTTGGAATACTATACGATTTAATATTGTTTCATCCAGATCTACAATTTTGCAAGTATGTCTTAATCCAGGTACAATGACATTGCTAAGTATGGTTTTCTTGCGAATGCAAAATCTGGAAATACTGTTACTGAGCTATCGAGCTCACCGAAAGCAACTCAGACGGATAAACCTACTGACCTTGGGGGGTAAGTTTCCAAATTAGACTCTTTTGATGGTTTATAAACACAGACATAACTACTAATCAGGTGTTACATTTAAATATAAGAACTATGTTTGGGTTATTTGTGACATTCAACTCCTGAAAAATTTATTTTCCTCAGAGTCATGATTGGAATAGCTGAACAGGTCTATTCAGTCCTCCTCTTGAATGTATTCTTCCTAGAGGTGAAACAGATCTTTGTATATTATTTCTTTATCAGTTTGATTATTTATTGTTTTTCCATCTTCGGCATTTTATTTGAACTTATTGCCATTTAGTTACAATTTAAAGATACCTAAAATTCTTTTAATATTGTGTGCAGGTTTTTGTTACAGGATATATACCTTATTTTGGGAAGGTGCTGAATTTCTTACTTCTTTCCTGGATGTATGCTTACTACTGCTTTGAGTATGTGGTGGATTTGTCTGACGTTTTCTTTTTAATTTTTCTATATATATTTTTTATTATTTATAATGTTGCACCTGGTATTAGCTAGATAATAGCTTATTGACTCAATATAACTTCTAGGTACAAATGGAACTTCTCTGGACTGAGTTTGGACAAAAGACTTGATTTCTTTGAATCCAACTGGGCATTCTTTGCTGGTTTTGGTAAATTTTCTTTTTCATATGAGTTGACTGCAATCTGGTTAGTTTCTGTTGACCTCTCTCTGTTGGCTGTGCAGCTACTTCAAACAAAAAACAACATACATGATTGTTGTTTTTATGTAGCAATCCACTTTCGATTATTCATTTCTTTGTACTGTTACATAGTAAAACTGATAACCGGCAATGTTCTCACTCACATATTGAATATTGAACTCAAGTAGTTCAGATGAGGTTATCATGAGATTTTGAAGTAGTTGGCATCATTCTCTAGAAGTTGGACTTTGATAAGGTTAAATCACGTATCACATTTATATCTATTTCAACTCTTTGTTGTTGGCTACATAGTATGTGAAAAAACAGGGGTGTAACAATAATGATTTGAAATCAAAACCATATTTTTATCTACTGACAGCAATTTCATACAATGAGCAGCCAAAGCTTGACATTGTTTTTTTGGTTGTATGATACAAATAATATTAGGAACTCTGTTGCAGCAGTGTCTCAGTTTGAACTTTGGAATACCTGGAAATTTCTGGAAACAAAAAAAGAACAACAATTTGTATTTAGATATAAATCTAAAAAATGTTAACAGTGTTTTAGAGGTCAATATTCTTCTTGTTACTAAAACAAGAAGCCTTGTGGAAGATGGTAAGTTGGAGTCAAACTTCTTTTTTGAAATTATGTTTAATATAATGAGATAAGAACATACATGCATCCATATATGAAAATGCATATAGACTTCATAGACTTCCAAATCCTTTCTTTGTAAGATTGGAGTAAAATATCATAATGACACATTAAAATAAAGACACAACTAGAGATTGTAGGTTGTTTTTGAAGTCACGCTATGGAGTGATCTAGGCATGTAGGACTTGAATCTTGATTTTAAACAAGAAGATAATTAGTAAAATCTGGGCTAGTCAGTGTTAAAATATAAAATAAGCTGGAAGTAGTCGGAACTTCAAAATTTCGTTGGAAAATGCTGGAATAAATCATTCTTGGGAACTACTTATACTTTGATTCACATGTGCAGGACAAAAATCTGTCTTTAAACATTCCTATGATTATTGTTGTTAAGTCACCAATTTTTTTCCAAAAGCCTAAGCTATTAGGAAATGGGCCCAATAATGTATTTCAAGCTATTCAACACCCTCCCCGACATGCAACCCCGTCTTGCACGTGGAGAGAAACAAAGAACCAAACAGAAGGAGAAGCAAACAACCAAACAAAGAAGAAAAAATCAAATGGGGACCAAATACCAAATGTCAATATGATCTCTCTCAACCTGAGCTCTACTGCCATGTTAAGTCACCAATTTTCCCAAAAGCCTATGCTATTAGAAAATGGGCCCAACAATGTATATCAAGCTACTCAACAGTCACTTCCTAAAGTTATGTTTATAATTGAATTACATAATTTTGATAGATCGAGCATGTTTTGCACAAGGCGAATTGGAGACAATGGATCCATGTTGTCCATCCCAAGTGGTTGAGATTAAATTAAAGACTAGTTGAGTTGGGATTTATTTATTTGTTTTGTTAGATTTATTGAGTTTTTTGAAAATCAAGCTTAAGGAGTGGAGTATTGATGTTTTGCCATATTCTTTTAATAGCTATTAGATTAGTTTTAAATAAAAAAGAAAGTAGTGATTTCTTGCAAGCATGGTGGATTTTGTATTTGTTCACAAAATTAATAGTCATAATCTTAATCTTCTTGAGCCCCTCCCTTATTCAACCCTTTGGAATCAAGGTTCTTGATCATTTATTCCCTGGTGGTTTTCTAAGCTTCTAATCTTAGTAGTAGGAAACTCCTATGGGGCCTCACTCCTCGCTCTGGAACCTTGCTCTTGCTCTGGCTCCAACCTTAAGCTCTTCTATAAGGCCCTTGCTACCCCACCCCCACTCCCGCCTCTGCCCCCATCTCTGCTCTCGCTTTGTGTAACTATGCTTCTGATATCTACAAATACAAACAACACTCTTAGTGGTGCCTCAAAACTAACATATTTGCCTTCATCATGCTGTGTTCTTTATGAAGTGAATATTTGCTGAGTATCACAAACCAAATTCTCTTAAATGAATTTATGATGGGGAAATTATCATTAATACATGCATCCTTCATGTGCATTTGCCTGTTCACTTTATTCAGGGTGTTGTGGTTGTATGTTGAACTGAATTATGTCCTTTTCTAACTTCTCAGGAAATCCATGTATTCTGGCTATTTTCTTTTTCTCTCCTCTTGTGAGCTATGGGGTCATGGCTATACTCTTTCCACTGGTATATTTTAACTCTCTCTATCTCTCTCTTCTCTTTGTGTTTAGCATTGCTGCTTGTTCACATTCTTTCTTAATATCATTAGTTGTTTTTTCTGTGCTTTCTGTTCTTGCACCTAATCATTCCATAAATACACATCATCTATAGTTTGATTTTATACTTTTAATCATAGTGTATTGCTGCTTGGTATGACATGATGGAATGCATCATCATTATATAGTTCTGGAAGATAAATTTGATTAGTTTAATAATTTAGTTACTTTTGAGGTTGGCAAAACCCTATTTATATCAAACTAGGATTTATAAATATGGAACAATTTTTTGGTTATAGACATGTAGTGGAGAATGTTAGCTGCAGTAGCCAGTTATGGTGGCAAGGATTTAATTTTATCAAGTGTGATGTTACTCTTATACTGGCATGTGTTGATCATTTCGTTTTATTCATTTTTTCTTTTCAGCTCAATTTTCTAATATATATGGAGGAGGTCAATGCCACCATAGATAATCAACTCAATTTATTGATTTGGAGGAAGATTTATGTGATATTAAAATATGTGTATTCATTAAATTCTAAAATAGACAACAAAGGAAAGAGTAGAAACTATGTTCCTTGTACAAAATCTTTCCTTTAAAAATGAGGTTGCACATGAACTCTGTTCTTGTATTTATCGATTATTCTGATGCTATTCTGGAGATAAAGAAACTACAGTTGGGAATCAGGCATGCTTGTGGAAGAATATTGATCTCAAAAATGAAAAACTTCGCTCCAGTAAAGAGATTACCAAGTCTGGCTCCAGGCAATTGAGTGTGTTGATAGAGCAGGTTGGATGTAGGCCTAAACTTTGCGTTATTTCCAGATAGTGACTACCCTTGGACTCGACCTGCATTTTCATGCTTGGCAGGTTGGCAGTATTGCACCAAGTGAAGCCCCTTTCCCAATATATATCTATATAGGATCCTGCTAAAACCACGCATGAATTTTATGCTGCCATGCACATTTTCATGTATTTCCCATATTGCCCTTTATTGTTTTGTTTTATCAACTGATGGTTGTAGTTCCGATGGCGCCAATTCTTTCAAATTTAATCCAAACCCTCTCTCCTTTCCTGTTTTCAATGGTTGTTCATCTTCTTCACAATTGTACAAGCGTAATACAAAATCTAAATCCTATAGATATAAGTATTTATCAAAAAAAAAAAAAAATCCTATAGATATAAGCATCAGATCTCAACAATAGATTCTCAAATTAAGAGCTGCATGATGCTCTTGATGATACAAATCAGAACTCTTAATCCACAATGTTAAGACCTAATTAAAAACAACCATTGGAACTTCGAAGAGAATCTTGAAGGAAAGAGAAATGATCAATTAGCGGTGTACGACCAGGATTGGAACTGAGTCGAACCAAGAACACAAGACGAAGAAACTGTGGAACGGCCGTGAGAGGGAACAAGGGGTTTGTATTTGAAGAGAAATGAAGAGGGAAAGTTCTGCATTACTGTGTAAAATATGGATCTGGATCTTTTCTGTTGAAACCATATGATCTCCAGTCATATGCCTATCCCCATCATTGGTGAGAGAGAAAAATTGGGCTCTCTAAGAGGTGGCTTTTCTTTTCAAGGGTGGGAGAGTGTTTACTAGTGTGAGAAAAAGTAAAAAACAGAAGTGACTGGAAGAATGACAAGTCTTGGTTTGGAGAGAAGTAGAGGAGAGGATAAAATATAAAAAATAAAGAAAGCAAGTGGAGTAGAGAGAGTGCCGGAATGGTTGGGGGTTAAAATGTTACAGCATACTAATTTGTGCGGAAGCATACAAATAATGCATGTCATTAATGGTTTCCATATATATATATATATATTCCTGATAATTTTCTGAAGAAAGAGAATTTGTTTTATAGTAAAAGAATTCAGGATACCTAGACTTGCTTCCTGGTTGACTTTCACCAGTTTTTCGGTACACACTCTACAGTCGTGAGTGGTCTATATCTGTTTAGTAGCTATCTTTTGAACTATATGTTTGCTATCTTTGAATCTTTATCTATTTTATTCTTTAGCTACAACTACTTTCTTAGCTTAAAGAAAGTTGTTTGCAGTCTTGTGGGATACCATTTTCTCTACAATTAGTATCCTCCCTAGAAGGGAAATAATATACTTTTATATGCTTTTGCATCAATACTAGTGGTAACAGTTGTTCTTTGTAGTTTGTTCTGACAGCGTCAGGCTCAGATGCTGACAAGCTCATTACTTCTCAAAGAAGAAAATGGGACGGTGCAGGTTTGCGAAGGCTTCCAATATTTTCTGTCGCAGATTATTTGTCGTAAGCTACAGTTTCAATGCTAATCCCTTGTCCTAAAATATTTAACTGTAGGAGCTTTTTAATATATTTAATCATGTAAGTCTGTAGAAATCTTAGATTTCATTTTTCATCTTGGCTATATTTATCTGGTAAAGTTTTTCAGGACGTCGATTGGATCGCTTGGTGAATATTTTTCTTTTTAAGTAGTGAAGGTGTCTCAGCAGAAACAGTTTTATGGTGTTCTGTTCTTGGAAGAAAAAAAAAAAATCTTAAAGAAAACTGACATCCCTACCCTTATATTGTTTACTCCAAAGTGCATAATTTTGTTGTTCAGAGGAAAGCGAATTGGGAAAAATAGGTCATATCATCGGTTATTTTTGATAACATGTTTGTTTGCTTACGTGGAGATACACAATGACATTCCCATACCGAGGCTAGTTTTTCACTGAACCTAAGTGCACTTGTCGATAGTGAAATTCTGTATCTGTCACAAGAATGAACGGATGCGGTGCCTTTAAAAATCGTGTCGCTGTAAACATTGTCTCTGTAGCAATTGATAATTATTGACGGCAAAATTCTATACTAGTTTGAAAATGAAGGGATGGGTCACTACTCTATCTCAGTTTTGGGTGGGATAGGGATGCATGTTTCATTTCGTTTATTTACTCGCTCTGATGGTGTGGAATAAACAGGTTAAATGAATTTAAGGCTTCGGCTACCATCCAGATTTTATTCCAAATTTTACAGAGTACTACATGATTGTCCAGTTAGGCTTTTGGTAGTCTCTGACTGCTGGCCGGTCATTAGTCTATCTCAGTTTGGAATGGGATGAGGTCGTGACTGATGGTGGTGTTCTTAATTATTGAAATCGCTTGATTCGGCTTCTTTGTTCTGTAGGATGCGAGTCTTGTCTTTCTTCCCCTTGGAACCTCGAGAACAAATTCAAGACAAGGCACTCTGAGAAGTGACTCCATGTGGCACACAAATTAGTATGTTGAATGCGAACATATATATGTATATATTGTGTTATAATTTTTTATTTTGAAAACCACTTTGCTCTTAGTTTACTGCTTTAATTTTTAAAATTTGGCCGTGCATATTTTTTTATTTGTCTCTGTTTTGTGGAGCAGTTTACCTGTGGTTGCCAAATTGTTGCTTTGAGATGTTCTGCCTCTTGTTTACATAAAAGTGCAGCACCTCAAGGTAAAACGAAAATATTGTTCTGTATCTTTGTATATATTAATTATTCTTAATGTCCAACGTTATGGGATTAAGACAAATATTTATATTTCTTAACATATGGTCACATAAAAGCTTTTAACTGTGAGAGTTTTATGCATAATTATATAGAAACTGAATTGTTGGACAACTTGTTTGGTATATTTTATACATTTACCAAAGTATTAAGTGCTCGGTGCCGGTATTTTACACATTTAGGAAAGTCCATTTAATGTAGGTTACATATGAAAAATTATTCAATAATTTCGAAGTATTACGTGTCTGTACTCTCTAACTAATTATCATTCAATATGTCCCTTTATGTTTTCTAATTACTCAACACAATATTCCACCTACTTACCTTTTCTACCAATCATAATATTATGGAATATCACGTGTTTATACTTCGAGATTACTAAATAATTACCCATTTCATATATATCAGAAACAAGTGTGGTATAAATTTTGATAATAAATATAATTTGTATTATATAAAATTTTAAGTATCTTATTATAAATAGGCTAAAATTTTAAAGTTTAAATATGTTGAAGAAAGAGAATTTGTTTTATACCTGCCATATACATATCTAAATTATGATCAATTTTTTTCTTTGGTTATGACTTATGAGATTTTTGGTTATGTCTTATGTGTTGTTTGGTTATGATTTTTTATTTTAGTTATAACTCAGAAATTATAAAATTATAAATCTTCATTCTTTAATTATAAGGTTCATATAATATTTTCCAAATATACTTATTATTTAATTTTAAATATTGAATGCTGATTTTTTACCCTATCTTCTTATTATATTCACTATGTTTGGTTCTATTTTCTTTGAATTATTTTTCAAAAAGTAATTTGAAAATTCTATTATGAAAAAGGATCTTTGTTTAGTTTTTAAAAAAATGTATTATTGCAAATTCAAGTTTTCCTTCAATTTAAGGAGACAATTTTGAAAAAAAAATGTCACATCAAAAAATACTTTCATGACAATTATATATATATATATATATATGTACATAATATATATGCATGAAAATATAGCATTCGTTTGGCATGTCAGGTTTTTTATTTTGTACATAATATATATGCATGAAAATATAGCATTCGTTTGGCATGTCAGGTTTTTTATTTTTTTGACTATTTTAGCTACAAAAAGACAATAAGCTTTTTAATCCAATAAGACAAAACGTCACATTTAACCTATAATTATTTCATTTTTTATTTCACAAAAATCAAAAAATCTTATTCCAAACGAGGCTTTTTAGTTCCATATTAAAATAACAAAAAAGTTAACCCACATCCCAAACGAACCCTATATAATTTGGTATGTAGCCATTTATGGGTACATATTCTAGCATTAAATGTGTGATTTTATCATAAAATTTTCACTCATTTCAACTACAAAAAAACGTAAAAAAAATTCCAAATTAGCACTAGAAAAATTCTTACATAGAATTAAATTTTCATAAATGTTATGCAGAAAATTTATTTTATCACAAAGTATTATGACATTAACACAAACATGTGTAACCTCGTCAGAAATTGGCATAAGAAAATGTCTAAATTTTTTGTATTTGATGTTACAAAAGTTTGTAAATTAGTTACGATTTTTTTTAATGCCAATTTGTTAAAAAAATTACGTTTTCTGTAGTTGAAATGAGTGAAAATTTTATAATAAAGTCACACATTTAATGGTTAGATATGTACTCATAAATGAATACATACCAAATTATGTTATCATACATATATAGCGTATACAATATATATATATATATATAAAACAAATATGAGATTATTTTTTGATATGACAATTTTTTTTTTTAATTGTCTCTCCCTTTAAATTAGAGGGAAACTTGAATTTGAAAAGTGTGTTTAATTTTATGAATAATCAAACTAGTATTCTAAAATTTTTAAAAAACTGAATTTGAAAAATGAGAGGGAGATTTGCACTGAATAATGGGTCGAGTTACGGCAGCACGGGATATGGTGTTGGGCCTTGCGAGGGCCAAAGACCATGTACCTGACCGAACTAAACCAACGCGGCTCTCCGGTCCATTACGTTGGGCCGAGCAAAGCATCGACTAGAATATGGAGGCGTGCAGGTGCTTAACCGAGCTATTATTCAGCGAAATCCGATGTTTGGTTAGATCCCGCACTGATGCGTCAGGCCGAACTACGGATAGTCCGATCTGATGTAGGGCCGAGATGTCCTGCGAGATAACAGGGCGAGGCCGAGATGCCGAACTGTACACCCTGCGATCAATCAATTCGGATGGACTGGTGTATTATAGCTCGGCCATCCCAGTCTGTTGTGATGTCTGCTTCTTCCAAGTGATAACTCAGTTGTGTAAGCCACCTGGACCAATGGTGAAAACGGGAAACTCCACTCCTGGTATGCGTCAATATCGTTTGGTGGTTCGACAAACACTGTTTGGAAGTTTTGGTCTCTACACGTGAAAAGAAGGTAGAAGGGAGTACAATCGCCTGCCCAGAGAAGGACAGTAGAGGTAGTGCACCCATAATCTCTAAGGCTGCATGGCCAGCCTAGAAAAGGAGAAACGTGGAGACGTTAGAGGCAAGCAATCTGAAGGAATTCCCAATTCTCTCTCTCTAGATCGCTCTCTATTCTTTTTCTTCTTCAAGTGTGCTGACTTGATCATCAGGGAGTTTATCCGGCAACACACCGCCGGGCAGCCCACCATCTTTTGGTTTTCAGGTTAAGCTACGTTACGTGAAGATTGGGTTCAAGGAGTATGGAGAACTGAAAGTATTTCACCCCCGTATAATTGACGCCGTCTGTGGAAAAAACTTTGGCAGACAAATCTTGCTCTCTGAGCTTCTTCAGTCGTTTCCCATGGCAAACAATGACGAAACACCGCTGTCTGTTGTCGACGATATCACACCAGAGTCTGTTCGATGGAGAGATGGTCCTCCTACTATTCCGACCATGGTGGGCCTGGAGACCTCTTCCAAAGGTGAGCGAGACAAACGTGCAAGGAGCACTGAACATTCCAAGAGTCCAGAGGGTCGTCGATGACGAGGAGAGTCACATACTCAACGCCTGGAGCACAAACTTAGAGATCAGGACACCTTCATTCGGAAGATGGCGGCTGAAATGGAAACGCTAAAGTGCCAAATCAAGGGGAAGGGTGTTGCTGGAGTGGGCAACCACAGTGAGCGCACCCCGCCCCATCACTTTGATAGTCGTCGCCAAGATGGGACGCCCTCTCTCTCTATTACCAGAAGCTATGGAGTTGGAGACTCCGATCCACCAGTGGAAAGATCTTACACTCGTGATAGCAGTTACCATCCCTCGCGTCCGTCGACGACGTTGAGATACTCTTACTCCGCCCGTTCAGGGGACCTGAGGGATGTGTTTGTAACGACCCCATTACGTATAATGATTAGTACTTGATTAATTAAGAGGATTTGAAATTTAATTGCCGAGTATTATAATTTAATTTGGGATTTATGAGAATTATGGGATCTGATTCATATATGATTCTATTAAAGAGTTATTTTGAAATTAGAAATTAAGGGTTTAAATGGCTTAAGGAAGTAAAATTGAGAAGTTGAATCAATTTAATTTTAATTACGGACCCATTTGGGAGTTTAATTAAATATTCAATTCAGTTTAGTAAAATTGAGATTCGATTAATTAGGTCCTAATTGGAGTTGATTAAGTTATGAGGATTGAGAATTGTGGTTATTATAAATTAAATTTAATTATGATGTGTCCAATTTGAATATGTAATTTATTGATGGAAATTTGAGTCTGATCAGAAATTGAAGGCCTAAATGATTTGGGAAATCAAAATTGATAATGAAAATAAATTTAATTTAATATTTGGAGCATTTTGGGAGTCTGACTAAAAATCTGATTCGGATTGATAAAATTAAATGTAATTAATTGGGCCTTAATGGAAGTCAAACTAAACTAATTAAATTATGTGGGACTTATGATTTGTTATAATTAATGTAACTATGTGTTGATTAAGATTTATTAAAATTAAGTGTTAATTAAATTAACTCTACACATAAATTAATTTATGGAAGAATCTAGAATTAAAGGGTGTAAATGAGCATGGGTGTATTCAGCAAATTAGTGGGTGTGTATATGTGTGTGCACGTGTAAGGCTGTGGTCGAAGGTGAACTGTGCATGTGTGTGCTGGTGAGTTCAAGATGAGGGTAATTTCCTTGGGGCCAAAACACACATTCGGTGAAGTGAAGAAAAAGAGTTAAGGGAATTTAGAGAGAGAGAGAAACAGCCGAGAGAGAGGGACAGTGTGTAAAAAAAAATTCTTGGAACTCATTTGTTGGAAATTGAGTAGGAAAGCTAAGGGAAAAGCTAGGGAAAAGTGGAGAACTGAAGAAAAGTTCAAGAATTGGCCAAGAAATTCATCAATTTGAAGACTTAAGGTAATAAATTGAGACTTAAATTTTGTAGAAAATTTACTCACAAGCTGAAATTAAAGGGTAATTGGATTTAATTTCATGACATAAGAAAGGAATGCAGAAGGTTTGAGTTAAGTTTGATAATTAAGAAATTGATGTTGTGATTAAATATTTGAGTTTGATTTTCTTCATCCTTCACATATTTGAAGTTTATCATTACATGCATTGTAAATTTTCAAGATTTTAGAATTTAATTCATATTTTAAAGTTTATGAACTTGAGATTAAATTGTGATATAAATTAAGAAGTTAAATTATAAATTGAGCTTGATAATGGAAAAATTGGTTGGATTTGATAAATGTTTTATACATGCATCATGGATTTTGAGGAATTTAAGGTAAACAATTTCATGTTTTGAAGAGAAGAGGAAAGAAATTTTATAAGAAAAATTAAGTTTATGGAAATTTTGGCGTTAATCCTAAAGTTAGACAAGTTCTTGATTTTACTATGAAAGACAGGAATTGGTTTAATTTTAATTTAAAAGTTTTATTTAAATTAAAGAGTATGAGTTTATGGAAGATTAAACATTGATTTAATTTTGAATATAGAAAATTAATTAGTTTTAATCTCAATGTCACACAAGCAAATACTTTCCTAAGAGGCATATAACTTCAATTTCATGTACATTAAAAGGAATTAGTAAAATGGTGTAGAAATTGAATTAGATTCAAAATCATAGAAGTTAATTTGAAAATAACCATTTTGGGTTTGAATTTATTTGTCTTATATGAAATTAAATTTCAATCTCACATTCATCATGAATTTGCAAGAGTTTTGGGAGCCTAATTTATGCTTTAAAATTTGTGGGTTTGATGGGGAGAAAATGAGTTAAAACTAAATTTGGACAAGTAGAGCATGATTTTGAATAAATGATTTCTAATTGAGAGTGTTTATTAAATTATACAATGATTCTCCATTTTTGTGTACCAAAATACATATTTTGAGGCTTTGAACATCAAATTTGAATTTCAATTACAATTCTAAAAATTCCAGAATTTACACTGTCCGCTCGAGCGTGAAAATCGAGCTCTCAGAAGTTTTTCAAACTTTACAGTCCGCTCGAGCGACCAAAGTGGCGCTCGAGCGGAGACCCCCGTTTCAGTATATTTTGGAAAGTTGCATTTAGTTCACATTTTTATTCTCATCTCTTTCCGAAGCATTCTGGACATGATTTATGATTCAATAAAGATTAATAAGCTACCAGTCACATAGATTAGTTAGTTAAAGAATGAATCATTGATCTAGTGCTAATTGTTTAAGAAGCCAAGTAAAAGATCAAACTATTTGGAAGGACTTAGTAATGAAAGAATATGTGAAATAAGAACCTGGCTTATTTGAATGAGAAAGAATCAGCGTAGTAGAACTTCGGACTATTTAGACGGAAAAAGACTAGAAAAGTCAAGTTTGATCAAGGAAGGTATTTCAACGTATTTATGTTATGTGCTTGTGTAGGTCACGCGCCATTGTCTGCCTGGTTTATCTGATATGTCCAGTCTGTCTGATTTGCTTCTGCAGCTATCTGTGAGTAATAACTTAGTAAAGTTATGTTCAACTGTATCTATTTTCTGTGTGACAAAATGAGATCTGTTTCCTGAAATGATATATTCTGTACAATGAATGATTGTCCAATTTCTGTTATGTATTCGTGACATCCTTAGCATCATGTGATATCTGTTGGCTGTTACCCGGTATCGGAGGTTTCTTTATGGAACTTAATTCTGTCAGCACTCTGTTACCCGTACCGGAGGCCCCGTCATGGGGGCTCAGCGTATCTCAGCTCTGTTATCCGGATTCGGAGGTTCCTTTATGGAACTGGTTATTCGTAACTCTCACGTGTCTGTATCTGCTCTGTTAATGCTAATGGATGTATCACGTATATTTAAGCATATCTCATGATTTCTGTATATGATCTGGACAAATTTTGAATTTGATATGAAACTGAATTATGATTTTTGAATCTGTACGGACTTATTCATTGAAACCCCTTTACTCTGTTATTGTTCACTGAGCTTTCGCTCACAGTTTATATTATCTATGTAGGTGAGCCGGCACGTGATTAGGGCCAGAGTTGACGGTCTTCATTTATGTTTTTGTCAGCCAAGTGATTGTTGCTATGTGATTTAAAGTTTTAGTTCTGTTTTCTTGTTTGGTTAAACAAGTCTTGTGTATTTTGTAAAAGTGGCTAAGTCTTTTTTGTCTGATCTGTATATATATTATGACGTAAGGACAATGTGTATATATGTATATAAAAAATTAAAATTTTTCTGTCTCATATAAGTCTGCACAGCTCAATGGAGGTTGTATATTTGTTATTTGCTTCCGCTAGCCCCTAATATTATGTCAATCTGTCTCAAAGGCCTTCGGTAATCCCAGGATTACTGGCCGGTTACGATGCTAAAGCTATAGGGACGGGTTTGGGTTGTGACAGTGTTGGAGGAGCGAGCTCACCGTAGAGAGATCCAAAGATTACTGGTGTTGCAAAGGCTGAGCCCACAAAACCGTTGTAGTGAGGAAGTGGCGATGCCGGCACCTAGAATGATAGCCCCAGCGCCGATAGACAGAGAGCTAGCAAAACTTACCGTTACTTCACTGTCCCCAGAGATCGAGAGCATACCACTCCCTGCCGGATTCCACCAACTTAAGTTCACGCTGTACGACGGCAAGACGGATCCATACATGCACGTGAGTCATTACCGGCAAGTAATAGCTGGCCACCGGCGTAATGACGCCTTGATGTGTCTCATATTCCCAGCAAGTTTGGGAGAACTGGGCCTGAAGCGGTTCGAAAAGCTTCCGGAAGGGAGCATCGAAGGGTGGCAGCAATTAGCAGAGCCCTGTGTCACCAGGTTCAAGACCAATACTCGAACACCGAAGGAGGTCGATCACTTTCTGAGCATTAAGATGGAGTCCGGAGGTTCTTTGAAGGCATACAATGCCAAGTATTGGGAAACCTACAGTGAGATCCTTGATTGTCCCACCAATCTGGCGATCGCCCAATACAAGCGAGGTCTTCTTATCACGACCCCAAACCGCCCCTAGTAGGATGGTACCGTGATGGCCAGTAATCTGAGATTACCCAAAGCCTCTTACAAAGATTCACACACAACAGAGCATACATAGGGGGCTTACAAATGCGGAAGTAATAAATTGAAATATAAGTGGTCCATAAGAGCCGTGCTTAGATCAAATGAAATGGCATACATCTTAACATGGGTTACAACTTGGTTACAAATAAAGTAAAGTACATGTTACATCTTGATCAAAAGGCTTCTCAAGCCAACGTATACAAAATACAAGTACTACAAGTCGAGAAGCATAATCTTCAAGATTGCCGACATGAATACAAGTCAAGCCGACATAACAAGAATCCAAAACAAGCTTGCGAAACACATCTAGGCGTCACCGCCTTCTTGCTCATCACCTACATATATATATAGAGAGGGTGAGCTTGGGTACTCAGTGAATGATATAAATAATAAAGGGTTTGCATGAATAATAGCCGAAGTCTTTTCAAAACAACACATATCAAACTTTACATAACAAGGGATGAACCACGTTCATCTAACAAATCTTCAAAGTTTCAAGGGATGCTTACTAGCATCAACATACTGCAAATGATGACATTCCGGACAACAAACCCACGCGGTAAACCGTCAGTGGCAAAACAAGACAAGACAAGACAAGACAAGGGAGATATCTCAAACGATGGTGCAGTTGCATTATAGTCTCCTGGCACTAAGGACTTTCCAAAACAAGATGTGCAGTTGCATTATAGTCCCCTGGCACTAAGGACTTTTCCAAGAATGTCATCAAACAAATACATTTATTCGATACACAAAAATAGGGATATTCATTCATGCTTGAACAAATACTTTTATCAAAACAAGGTAAAGCAAAGCTTTATCAAAACTTTATAACATAGCTTTATTAAAAATACCACTCACTTAGTTCTTCCACGTCGGGGTCAAGGCAAAAGTCCGAGTCCTACAAACACATGACAAAGTCTATTGAACGTACTTTCAAACAAGATTCACATGCAAATGGATGATCTCGGGCATTCTTCAAAACTAAGTTAAATAAAAACAAAACACTGCTTTTCATCTCGGGAAAGCATGCTGGGCACCAACCAGGTCTTGGCCGAGGTCTCACACCTTCTCGCCGAGGTGTGGTCCCGACGGCCACATTCGAAAGCGAAGTCGGGAAAATCTGGATTTCCCTTTGAGGAACATGAAGAACAGGAAGATGGAGAAGATGAAGAACATGCATGTTTAAATCATAACTTGTTATTACAAAGTCTGAGATTTCGTGCTATGAGTTTGAAAACATGGACCTGCGTACCCATACTTGAAGATCTTGTGAAAACAAACACAAAAACATGGTTCTTGATGCAAACTTTCGGATCAAAACAAGACTTTTCTTCAAGAACACATGAACACTATCTTCTCTTACTAAAACCAACTTTAAATCAATGCGGGGCATGCAGAACAAGTTTGATCATGCAATGCAGCTGGACGATCAATAAGAACAACAAGAGTAGATTAAGATTCTAACCTCAAAACTTGAATCAAACGGTTCAAACTCCCACGGTCAAGCTTGGAGGTCCACTCTCTCACTCAAAAGCTTCTCCTTCTTCTTCCTAGAGTCTCTCTCTCTAAAAGACAAGATTTGATACAAAATGATATGTTCTCTCGACAGCCACTGACTTAACCCTCTGCTGGGACACGTGGCATCGACTGATTGGTTCTTCCCAAAAGGTGACTGACTAACAAGACAAGACTATGACAAAGTGTGATCAACAAGCTAGATGGCAAGGTCACTCCGGCGAGTGATGATCTCGGCTAAGGGAAAAGTTTCGGCAAGTAGGGTGACAATAACATCGACTTGGAAGGACAACACTTGACTAAGCTGTGCCACACCTTGGCCTAGATGTGCCACACCTCGGTCTAGGTCATACCATTCCAGGAACAAAATCACTAAGTGCAAGGATCAAGGATCTAGAACGCCTAGATGATAACATCTCAGCCTAGATGAGGCACATCTCAGCCTAGGTGACGCACACCTCAGCCTAGATGATGACATCTCGGCCAATATGCCTAGGTGATGGTGGAGGCCAACCAAAGTGGTTCCAAGATAGTTCTAAGTGTAAAAAAGTTTAAAGGTTAGGCTTAAGGTGACTCCGGCAACACACCAGGCAAGAACAAAGCACGCAAGCAACACTCAAGCAAAACAAGACAGGGTTTGCAAATGCAACATAACAAATCAAGATCATATATAAATGTATGCAAGTATGACTAAGTTGAAGTGAGAGTTGTTACACTTCTAGTCGAGCATAGGCTGCAAGACTCACTCACGATGCGTCAGCCCACAACCATGGAGTCCTTAATGCAGTGGATCAACGAGCATATCCGAGTAAAGGATGATGCCGCCACCGTCACCGCAACTAAGAAGGCAAATTCCTTTGCGGTGGACAAAAGGGTGGCGGGAAAGGTTTACTCTGAAGGGAAGGAGGACAACCGCCCCAATAACCGAGCTAGAGATCAACATCGCGGTTCAAACCACAATGATAGAAACAAGAGCCGAGGAAACAACCAAGCTAATGCTTCTCGAAGCGAAGAGGAAGATGCCAAGAGAAATTTGAAAGCACAGACCGGTATCACCACTGTCTTTAAGATCTCAATTTATCGAATTCTCAGTGAAATCCAAGGTGAGCCATACGTGCGTTGGCCTGTCAAATTGGGAGACACGCAGAGGGGCTTCAACTCGAGGTACCGCTGCACCTTCGATGAAGAAAAAGGGCATCGAACGGAGGACTGTGTGCCGCTCAAGCAACATTTGGAGGAGCTGGTTGTAGCTGGGCATTTGGATTAGTACATTAGCGGGGGCATAAGGGCTGCTCCACAAGGGCAAGCCGAGCCAAACGGTCTTGCCGCCCTGGACGCGGCACCCCAAGGAGTGATCAGTGTTAATTATTGCATCATCGAGCCAGTGTGGGTTTGCGAGCTGATGGGGATGATCAAGAATGCCAAGCACATGAGGGAGGTGCTCGCTGTTCAGTCCGCCGTGAAGAAACGAAAAATCGAGATAAAGGATGTCTTAACTTTTTCAAGCAAAGACTTGGAAAGAATACAAACGCCTCATAATGACGCCCTAGTTGTGACTCTTTGCGTAAAAGACTTCAACATCAAAAGAATTCTGATTGACCAGGGGAGTTCAATCGAGATCATGTACTATGACGCGTTCAAACATATGAAATTGGACGACAAAGACTTGGCTCCAGCAACGTCTTCTTTGGTTGGCTTCAACTCTCAACTAGAATGGCCAATCGAAAAAATCATATTGCCGGTCAAAGCTGGGTCGGTCACGAAGCAAGTGGAATTCTAGGTGTTTAAGGTCCCATCAACCTACAACCTAATCTTAGGAAGGGGCTGGTTGTACGCCATGCAAGCAGTAGCGTCGACTTATCACCAGGTCCTGCACTTTCCTGCACTAGCCGGACAAGTAGAAAAGGTTTGGAGGGACCAAGTAATAACAAAACAATGCTTTGTTGCAGTGAATGGCAATGGGGTTGCCAAAGGTTTCGCCCAAATGATAGAAGGGCTAGAAGGAAAGGAAGTCCTGAAAGACGTGGGAAGAAAAGCCGAAGAGAAATTGGTTGAAGATTTGGTGGAAGTACGTGTTGATGAGAATGATCCAAATAAGTTCTTTCTTTTGGGATCATCTTTATCCAGCGCCGAGCGGCTCGATTATGTGAACTTTTTGGTTTCCAACATTGAGGCCTTTGCATGGATACCTTACGATAAGCCTCGTGTCGACTCTAGCTTCATTTGCCACCAGTTGAATGTCTTTCCAAATGCATGACCGGGCATCCAGAGAATGCGGTGCTCGACCTTACACCATGTCGAAATAGTGGCAGAGGAGGTCAAGAACTTGCTGGAAGCTGGGGCGATAGAAGAAGTGCAATACCCCAGATGAATCTCTAACACGGTGGTAGTGCCGAAGAAGAATGGTAAATGGCGGGTGTGCGTCGACTATAAGACAGTCAACTGTGTGTGCCCAAAGGACAGCTTCCCCCTCCTAAGAATCGACCAGCTGGTGGATCTAACCACTGGCCATCAGTGGTTTAGCTTCCTGGATGTATATCGCGGCTATCAGTAGATCGCCATGTACAAACTAGACCGAGAGATCACTTCGTTCACCACTCCAAGAGGCTTGTTCTACTACAAGGTCATGCCGTTTGGTTTTAAAAATACCGGGGCAACTTTTCAGAGAATGGTAACCAAAATGTTCGCTCTCCTTCTTGGCCGCACTATGAAGGCTTACATTGACGACATGGTGGTGAAGAGAAAAGAAAAATCTCAACACCTTGTTGACCTATCAGAAATGTTTACCATACTCAAACATCACAAGCTGCGTTTAAGTGCCTCCAAGTGTGCATTTGGAGTCGGAACCGAATTTTTTTTAGGTTTTTTGGTCACCAATCGAGGAATCGAGGGTGACCCTTCCCAGATCAAGGCAATACAAGAATTAGAGTGGCCAAACTCCACGAAGGACGTGTAACATCTTGTCGGAATAGCGGCCGAACTGAACCGATTTATCAACCGGTCTTCGAATCGTTACAGCCCCTTCTTCAAAACTTTGAAAGCCAAGTTCTTTTGGGATGACGAGTGCGATCGTGCACTGGCAGATCTAAATGTATACCTTTCCTCAGCCCTAATCCTGGTTACACCATAACTAGACGAATAGTTGTCTCTCTACTTGGCAGTTTCTCAGCACTCGGTGAGCGCCGTCCTCGTCCGCGCTAAAGGGATCCAGCACCTCCCCATCTTCTATGTCAACAAAACACTGCTCTTGGCTGAATCAAGATATCTGCCGCTTGAAAAACTGGCTCTGGCTCTCATGATGGCTTCTAGAAAGCTGGCGCACTATTTTCATGCCCACACGATAGTCATGCTAACCAAATTTCTGCTCAAGGTGCTCTTTGAAAAGGCAGATTTCACCGGCAGAATTTTGAAGTGGGTCGTAGAATTGGGACAATACGA